TGGACGATACCGTTGATACTGTACCTTCGCCTTCTAATATATTGTACCCGAAAGAAGACGAAACCGAAGCAGTGGTATTAGAATTATCAACTAGTGATAATTTGAACGACACGCAAAATGACGAGTAAGTTCATACTCGTTTTGGGCTATTTACGGACATTTTAAATTTTAAATTATTTAGTTTATTTAGTTTATTTTTCTTTACTTGTCAATAATATGTATTTATAGGATCAAAAAACTTGAAAATTGAATACAAGGCTCCTGATATATCTCTTTACAATATTAGCTGAAAAATATTAAAAATACATAAGCACAGTTTTTTTTAATAAGCATTTAAAGTTCAAATTTTGACAAAATATATATCATTCAACATTTACAAATGGTTTTAGTTTAAAATTTTTAAACTTTCAACTTTATAACTAATGGTTGAAAATTTAAAACTAAGTTCCACGAAAGTAGATTATTCTGTAACCAAAAAATCTAAAAATATATATGATAACCGTTGTTTGTTTTTTGTTTTTTATGTTAAAATGTGGATGAAATTACATATTAATAAATAACCAAGATTTATGCTATTTTGTTGTAAATTAAAAATATTATTATTTTGGAAAAAATGAATTAAATCTACTGCGTAGTATAGGTACTAATGCTAACTAGTAAAATAATTACTTTCATCACAATAATATAAACAAATATATACATTACTAGTAATATTATAGACTGATAGACCGTCGTCGCTCAGAATCGTTTTTCTTCGTTTACCTTAATAGATATTTTTAATAAAGGCAGATCGTGGGTTACATCCATTTTTACAATTTTTTTGTTTTTATTTTAGGTACTTATTAAGTGGTAGACGAATCGTTGATATTGCATACTTTTTTAAATCCATTCGACGTATTAAACATAAGGGTTTCGAATGTTCATTCTCAGAAAATATGAAGTTAGTAAATGAAAAAGAAATGGAATTTCTAGCATTTTGTTTTTAAATGCTTAATATGTGGAGTTTTTGAAAATATTTATTCGGAAGATCCTGATAGAAAAGATTTTGATATCAATATGGCAATTACTTCAGCCGTCATTAATACTGGACAGGGATATTCGCAATTGGATGAATTTACGGCCGTACTAGATTGCCTTGTTATGCTTAATTTCATATCAAAAATATCACGAGAAATTGTATAGTCATTTATTTGATGCTTCGTTAGATGAAATTAGACTAGCTGGAATTGAAGAGGCAAAACTTGCTATACAAAATGGAGAAGTGGATGACCAAGGTCGTGCATTAGTGACTGTTGTTGCAGATGGAGCTTGGTCAAAAAGATCGTATAAAACAAATTACAATGCTTCATCGGGTGTAGCGTCAATTATTGGGTATAGAACGAAAAAATGTTTATTTATGAGTGTTCGTAATAAGTACTGTGTCATATGTGAAAGAGCCTCAAACACAAAACAAATAGTTCGTGAGCACAAATGCTACAAAAATTGGACTTCTACTTCTACTTCTATGGAGTCAGATATTATAGTTGAAGGGTTCAAAGAAAGTTTAGCAATGCATAATATTATATATTATAAATTAATTGGTGATGGTGATAGCAGTGTTAGTAAAAAATTACAACTCGCTAAACCTTATGGTCCGGATATGATAATTCAAAAAATTGAATGTAAAAACCATGTCTTACGCAATTATATAAATCGTATGCGTGATATTGCGGGAAAAAGGAAATGTAGCAGTGGACAAATTGTGCCCGGAGACCAGAGGAATATTTTGCGAAACAATTTACAAAAGCTCCGTTGTGCAGTTACTAAAGCAATAGAATATAGGAAAGAAAGTAATGAAACACATAATGAAAAAGTTAATTTATTAAAATATGATATTATGAATGGACCATACCATGTTTTTGGAAATCATGTAAATTGTGCTGCATATTTTTGTAAAAAAAAAAATGAAAAAACAAATATAAACCATGTTCCAGATATGGAACAAAGTGGACTTTGGGCTGATATTTTGTCAGCAAGAAATCTATTAGCTCATCGTTCCTCAAGTTTGATTTATAATGTAAACAATAATTCGGTCGAAGGTTATAATAGCGTTGTTGCTAAATATGTAGGTGGAAAGAGAATAAACTTTTCTCATAAAGGGTCATATCAAGCGAGGTGTACCGCGGCAGTGTTGTCATATAATGCAGGGGCAACATCTTTAAGTGTTTTACACAAAAAAATTTGCAATAAAAGTCCTGGTGTTTTTACCAAACGTTTTATAAATAGAAAACAGACGACGAAAATATGTAAAACAAACAGAAAACTTACATATGAACCAAGTAGTAGACGAGTTACCAAAGTTAGCTTACCTGCAGATAAAGACTATGGCAATTGTGAAGAAGATATTTGTAAAGAATTGGATATGGATGAAAATGATTACGAAAAACTTAAATTAGAATTTATGACGAATAAAATTATAAAAAATAGTAATGAAATCAAATTAATTGAAGAATCGACTAAACTTCAATCGGAATGTGAATTATGGCATAAAGAAAGACGAATTCGTTTAACCGCGTCAAACTTTGGAACCATTTGTAAACTTCGACCGGCGACGTCTAGAGCTAATACAATTAAGTCAATGTTGTATAAAACATTTTGCGGAAATGAGCATACAAGATATGGTATTGAGTGCGAACCCTTTGCGAAGACAGAGTTTCAAAAACTAACAGGGCTTAAAATTCAAGAATCTGGCCTTTTCATTTATGAACAACTACCGTTTTTAGCAGCCAGTCCGGATGGACTATTAGATGATAACGGTATAGTTGAAATAAAATGTCCATCTACAATTAAACAATTAACTCCAAAAGAAGCTATAGAAACTGGAAAATTAAAATTTGCAACTATTGACAATCAAGGAAATCTACAGTTAAAAAAAAGTGACAAATACTATTTTCAAGTTATGGGTCAATTACAAATAACTAAAAGATTGTTTTGTTATTTTATAATATGGTCACCTAAAGGTAATTATAATGCTTAAATTACAAATAAATATTGGTAATACTAATAACTATCGTAAATTGATTTCCACGTACGTATGTTTACAGGTATATTATACCAAAAAATTTTAAGAGATGATGATTTTTTCGAAACCAAAATGAAAACATTGCTAGAAAATTTTTATTCCAAGCGATGTTGCCCGAGTTAATAGACTCAAGAGATGATAGAAACCGCGTTTACGTGACTAACCTTTATAGTTACGCTTAAGTTTTTTACTGAAGAAGTTTGTAAATAAACTATAAAAACATAATAATTTGACATTTTGACTTAATATTCATATTATATGATCGCATTATTTTTTCTCCAAGATATCTAACTTACAATACTATGTACATTTATGTGAGTGAAATAACGCTGAGTTCTAATTATACATGTGTATATATTTTAATAAATTATTATAGCATAAATACATAATATTAATATGTATAAATAGCAGTACGTAAGTAGTAAGTACCAAGTTGTAATGGTTCATCCTCTCTAGCACTCACTTTCCTCACCTTTTTTATAATATACATGTGTTTCGGTGTATGCGATTGATTGTGTTATTCCTTTTACGTAAAAAAAGTGATTATGTAATTAATGAGTAAAAAAATTGTGTATACAAAAATAGGTTTAGTTATTATAATATTATAGAATACTAAAATAACCTACTTTTGACAACAATATATTTTATGACCCACATAATTAGTCGTTTACGTTTAATTGTTTACGATGTTTGATGTCGACGGCGGGTCGATTCCTGGTAAATATTGAGAGAGATTAGTCTTACACACACTAAGGTTCGTTTACATTGCACACACTTACAAGTCAGTTTAATGCTATCATGTTAAATTGCCTATATTAATTTCCTTAAAACACGATCGACTGCAGCCCCCTTAAGAACACGGATTTCATTATCAAGTTGCCAGACCTAATAATCTAAGACCGTGATACAGACTACAGAGTGTCCTGTATTATCGTATATAGTATTTGATATGTTCTACAAATCAGACGGTCAGTGCAACTCGACGACAACTTGTGTACATTCGTATTACCTCGCTCACCCCGTTAAATCTTTCCTCATATTAAATCTTTAAAAATGTTTAATTGTGCTATGTGTGAAAAAGTGTACGTTCATAAGCGCGATCTGAGCAGACACGCTAAAACTCACGATGGATCGACTAATTCGTGTGGGATATGTCTAAAAACGTTCACCCAAAGGAACAATCTCAATATCCACGTACAAAACCGTCATAGTAAGTACATTGAATATTATTCTTCATCGATTCGAAAAAATACACATACGATGTTTTTTCGGTTCGGAAATTATTTACTCTGGGTTATTAATTAAATTATTTTTAAATTAGTGATCGCTAAAAACACTCCTGAATTCCACAGCGCCGTACGAATAGGTGGTGCAATGGGTAAATATTTTTTTCTCTTATAAATAATAACGACACTATCTTAACCCTTTCAGGCCCGAATTATGATCTGATGAAAAAAAAAAATAATTCATGTGTTCTTTACATAAAACATACTTAAATTAAGAGAAATTTCGAATTTTGAAATTTTTTGACTACCCAAACTTGAGTTTTGGTGACTTGTCATTATAATGGCATTTGAGCGTTAAATATAATTACTTACATTACCATTTTAATGGCAGTTGGGCTTTAACGTATAACACACTATATCGTATGAATAATCTTTATTCGTAAAAACAAAATATCAATAACAATTTTTAAAAATTAAAAATTAGAACAATTAATATAAAATTAAATAAGAAAATAAAAAATAAAGTTTATAATCATTATCACAATGGTTATACTGTGGCAGTCTTTGCAGTTACATAAAACGATAAAACAAATAAAAAACATCCTTCTAAGTAGTAATAACATTAGGTAAATAAATATAAAATATAAGATCATCTGTTACATTGTTAATAATTATATATATAAATTTACATAATTATAATATGATTTAAATATTTAATTATGATAATCATAAAAACAATTCCTTGTCTTGGTAATACACGGTAATACATAAATGGACATTGCATTTTTTGCATGCCATATGGGTTCTTTTTTTACATCCCTCTAACTTACAGAATGTGGCATCTTTCAAGTTATCCATGTATGCATAATGGCCAGTGTTATCTTTTCTCATCACATCAGTGGGGTATCTATCAATTAAACAATTTTTTTTGCATGGTTTAGGTTGAACTATAATTTTGTTAGATGACGACGGGCGCCCTCGTTTTCTGGAAGGTGTTACTACAGAACTCCCTACAGAAATCAATGTAGAAGCTAAATTTTGCTTAAAGCCTAATAAGTCCATTACTTTTTTTTTTGGTAAATTTATTGTTTCAGCATCATTTCTATACTCCAACCATGCATTGCAAGTGGCCATATCAAAGGCATGAAACAGCATACGCAGAGTCCATTTTCTAGATTTTATAAACACTCTGTAATAGCTAATGAGTTGGTCATACAAATCCATCCCACCCATTGAATCATTATATAATTTCACAATTTCAGGGTGACCTACTTCAACATAACATTTATTTTTTTTATCATACCGTTTAATTATATCTGGGCTGCCTCAGGGCCGCATTTAGGGGGGGCACTGGGTACAACTGCCCCGGGCGCTAGTATTTTAGGGGCGCCAAAATTTTGTGGACAGAAATGTCTTTACTTATGATTTTTTTAAATTGTATACTTTAAATTATTTTTATAACAGTATTATATAATATAATCTAGTATAATAGTATTGTATATATTATTATAGTATAATAATTATGCTGTTTGAAATTTATTATTTAAACAATCAATGTATTTATAGCAATATAGCTACAGCGATCGATAATTATTAATATACTTAGTTCCCAAATTTGTTGTGATTATGTCAATAGACATCAGTTATTTATAATAATACGGGCAATACCAATACGGCGTATTGATTTTATATTACATAGTTTTGTACTTATGATTAAAATAAAGGAAGTTCCAAAACAATGATCTTGAATATTATTCTATATTATAAACATCATTCATTTAAATAGGTAGGTAATATTATTTAATTATTTGCTATTAAATTTTGTGTTTATTATAATCATTATTTTTTGTAATTTCTACAAAATTAAGTAAGTAAGAATCAATTAAACTATAGGTATGTAGAGATTCAAAAATAATTAATGTTTAATAACTGGTAAGTTGACAAGTTGTTATGAAACAAATTTATGCAGGTCACTTTTTTGTCACTTTTATAAATAAATTCAGTCACTTTTTTTAAATAGCTTAAACCACTACCAGCCCTGTATATAGTTACATTAATTTTATAAAATACTATATACAATAAAATATAAAATATTTATTTGCATAGTTTTATATAATTTTATTTTATTTATCCATGAAGTACCTACTTAAATATGTTTAAAAAAAAAAAACAACTTAATGATACTAAATAATTAGCAAGGTTTGAGTGACATAAATTCCAATATATCTTTGCGGAGGGATCAAGCAATTACTAAACAATATTTTTTTAAAAAAGCACTCTTAAACAAATATTCTTTTCTTCGCTCAAAATCTAAAGGGTAATGAGGATCTACCTCACATATTTTCCGTGGGAGGAGCAATTTTTTTTTCACCGGGGCTTGGGGGGCGCCAATTTTTTTTTGCACCGGGGCGCAAAATGTCTAAATGCGGCACTGGGCTGCCTGAAGTTACAAAGTTAGACGCGAGACTTACAGATTTATTATCCAACCATTTAATCAGACCAACTTTTCCATCTGTTGAGGTAACTTCATATGAAGCTCCTCTTCCTAATGTATTTAGCTCTTTATCGCTCACAATTGGAGGATTAGCAAAACGATTAAGTCTAACTGTCCCAGCTGCTTTAATTCCCAAACACTCAAGTGATGTAAATAGATTGTAAGAGCTAAAAAAATTATCAAAATATAAATAATGTTCATTTTTATCTATGTGTTCAACTAATTGTAGAACTGTGGAACCCCCAAGGCCATATTTTTTTTTTATTTCATGATTTATTTCAGTTGAACTGCCCTGGTATAAAATCATATTATAAACCATACCATTAGCAGAGCAGATAAAAAAATTTTAATACCCCAAGGGCAGGGTTTGCCTTTCATGTATTGTTTGACACCTAATTTCCCTTTAAATTTGACCATTTGTTCATCAACAGCTAGATTAGTTTCTACTGGCAATTCTTTACGTTTTAAAAAAGAATTAAAAAGTGGTCTAACTTTTATAAATTTATCAACATTGTTTTCAGGAATGTCATCATTATTCATTACATGAAAACAAGACCTCAACTGAAAAAAACGATTTCGAGACATATTATCAGCAATTATATTTACTCTGTCCTCATTAGTCCAACATGATCTTATTCTACTAGGTTTTTGACAACCAATCTTCAAATGTATACCCACAAACACCTTCATTTCTGAAGGTGTAGTATCTACATAATTTATGAAATTATTTTGTTTGGCATAAATATTTGTGTACTTGGCCATATTTTCAAACTCTTCCTCAGGAAAGTATTTACTGAAATATTCTATTGGTAATAGAGTCTTATAAGTAGTTGATAATTCTGGAGCTGGTGGCGAAATCTTTAAGAAATTACTGACAAACGGTCTATTTGACCATTTAATTTCATTTTTTGTGTAATATGGTAGGTTATTGAGGTGTAGTCCGTGTTCAACAACAGGTCTTATTGCTATATGACATGGTGGTATTGCAGGTGTACTTGGCCTAGCTATTAAAACAATTAAAATGTATAAAGAAACCAAATAAAAATAATTCAAAAAATATTTAATATACCATAAGCATTGTTATCTGATTGCTGTTCATCTTCAACTGTTTCTAAAATATACAGTGTAATTGTTTCATAAAGAAAATAATTAAAAACAAAAAAATAAATAATATAAAATAATATTTTACATACCATTATTTATGCCAAAAACGTTGAAATCTTCACCATCTTCGAATTCAAACAGTTCAAAATCATCAAGTACATTTTCAAACATTTGTTCTTTACTAGACTTTTCGATTTCTGAACAAGGGTATTCATTGTCATCAACAAAATCATCGTCGTCGCCTGACAATGACGATAGTTCTGAATCTCTCCCATCACCTAGCAATTCGATGATGTCTCCGTAGGGCAGCTCATGCTGCTTTTTTAACATTTCGAACTAGAGTTTATAACATAAATTTAATTTAATCAACTGATTATAACTATCTACCTATGTGGTTTAATTAAAAGAATACTTACTAATATAGTTGATATTCTTCACTAAGCAACAGAAACAAAATTCGTAACGTAACAACGAGTTACTCGTTCGAGTACCGGACGAGAATACGAGATTCGGAGAATAAGGATAAATGATAACGAATAACAGCGGCAAAATGCACGTGCACGTGAATAATAATATTATCGGTTATCACAAAATGTTGTAAACGCCCAAGGCCCAACTGCCATTATAATGTCATATTACCACGGACTAAGATATAATGGACTGGAAACGACATGGTCGGCGGGGATCGGGGGACGGCCACGAAAAGATGTCACTTAGCTGATAAGAATACTGTTCTTGAAGTTTTCAGCGCTACCGGTGGTTTTATTTGGCTACACAATTTGTATCTTAGTCCGTGTTAAATAAAGAGGGCGCTATGAACTCCAAGAACAGATAGCGACCCCCCGCTCTTTGCCTCTTGTACATACTTTCGTGGCCATGATAAGCTGCTCGTTTCCAGTCCATTATATCTTAGTCCGTGCATATTACTTAAGAGTTAAGACCACGGCCTTAGACTAGTTAAGACGATACCACTCACTGATAAAAGATAATAACCACATTTACGGGCATAATACAATAACAACAGTGTTGACACGGGAAAAAAAATATGGGATTTTTCCCAATTGATTATCAATAATATTTATATTTATTACAAAAAAAAATCCCGGCAAATTTTTTTTTTTTTTTACATCATTGATTTTCAATATAGTTTAGTGATAAAATATATAATCATAATTCTTATTATTATCTATAAATATTCGTTCATCGTTGACAAAATAAACCAATTTCCCTCCAGTTATACACACAATTATAATTTCTACATTTATTTAATGTAATGCCATTATAATGACATTGGGGCCTGAAAGGGTTTTAATATTAATAATATATGTTAGGTCGTGCATCGGTTATAAACTGGGCACCACCCGCCACTACGCCGCCCACTCAGCCAGATGTCTTGACTCCGACTGTCATCTCGTCTCGCAGTCGCCGTGCGGACACATCTACTCCCCCGCCTCAAGCCTCATCATCCGCGCCTCGCACACAGATTATTGTTACCCCGCCACCCGCACAGACCACCACGACACGGTCCAACGTGACATCCCCCGCTACCACCGCACCATCGAGGCCAGATTCGCCATTGCCGAACGAGGAAGGTGTCGCTTATACAGAGAATACTCCTAAAAACATAAAACGTAAAAAGTCACGCATGCAAAGGGTTAATACGCCGGGCTTTATCGAAATTGAATCTTCGCTCAGCCGCGCGATTTGGTCTTCTCTATTAAAAATAAATAAATAAATAAACATATTTATGAAAACATATTCTAATATTATGATAAATATAATTACTGAATTTCTTCTTCTCCGTCGGATCCGTTCCCAATTTCCATCAGTTCATTGGGGAAGGGATGGTCGGTGTCTTCATCCTCATCTTCGTGATGAGATTTGCTAAATAATAATTAATTTTTTAAAAATTAATTATTATTTTATTATGATAATATAATACTAAACATTGTACCTTATTTCCACACGATTGTTCAAGATGGTCGTTAAAAATTAGAAAAACATTAATACAAAATCCATTTTATTAAACACTTCAAAATAAACTGTGTAAGTCGGAAAGGAAATAGATGTTAATATAGAAGACGGATGGTGTGTAGTAGATATCGCGGAACAGACTGAATTAGTTTTAAGGTCCAGTGCGTATGTCGATTGTATACAGCATTCATTCTATGGGCGTACGAGGGGTTTATACATATATATACATATATATATTTGGGTCTAGATGGATAGTAGTTTCACAGAATAACGTTGTAAACAGCTAGTATACATTATATTATAATGTGTAGAATATGCTTCCTCATAATAGGACAGCGTGGCTTGTCCGCAGCTTTTCCTACGGTCAGTGAAAAGAATGCTAAGGTTGAACATCTGAACGCTGTTTTCAGTATTTCTAATACAACTACATTGAGGGTATACAATTTTAGCTAAATCCCCTATTATGCTTGACGACAAATATATGTGGAGTATATTATTTTATATTATAATATTATAATATGGTGTAGTAATATATTGCTTCTCTCTCTCTCTCTCTCTCTCTCTCACTCAACGAACGAAGAATATACAGGGTTGAGTGGTGTAGGTATCACAGGTCTAATAATACCGAGGTATTGATGGGGTGTGAGGTGGTGAGAAAGAGAATTGTGAACGTTCACTTACATGACAAACGGTGTGCATGCGGGTTGGGGTGGTAGGACATCGTTGCGTATATATCTCCGGATTGAACTAGAAGCAGTCGAAGCGTTCCCAGCTTCAGCTTCTGCATATTGCTTAATATTACATAAATATATAATAATATTTATTTATAATATTTCATTAATAAATGAAAATACTTTTTTTATAAATCACGTTTATTTTTATTTCACATCATATATATGACGCTAAGAGTTATGTCAGTTACGTATTTAACCAATACAATTTTATTTCTTTATATTACAGGGCTTGAAACCGGTAACCGATTTTTCCCGGTAACCGGTTCCCATGAGTACTTTTTGGACTGGTATCCGCTTCCCGGTTCTCGAGTTTCAATTTTGAGAAGCGGTTATCAATTACCGGTAATCATGGAATTTGATAAAGGGGGAAATCTATAACGGTAACCGTTTATTTTTCGAACCGGTTAATTAATCGGAAGTATACAAAACCATAAATCTCAAACCAATTAATGTAAAATTTTTTTTTTAAAATTATATTGAATATTCTAAATAGAAGAAAATAATATTTATAAAAAACTAAAATAGATTATTTTAGAACTACTAAGTACCTATTAAAATTTAAAAATACCAAAACAAGCGTGTTTGATTGCGGAATCGTATCGGCGCACTAACAAAAGATTCTCAGTAGTCAGTACCCTTAGATCATATACAATGGATGGAGCTACTTTAATCATTTGCTGTGTCCAACATAACCCCCCACTTATTAGTTATTTTATAGTGATTGTTGGCGAAACGCATGCGTAATAACTAATAACTCGTTGTACCTTGAAATCAAATGGGTGGTGGGGATGGAATGTAAAGCAGCATAGGCGCAACGCATGCGCAATAACTCGTTGCACCTTGAAATTAAATGGGTAGTGGGGGGTTATGTTGGACACAGCTCGGTATACGAAAAATACACACATAGCTCCATCCATTGTATATGATCTAAGTCAGTACCTATAATATAGGTACCTACTGAATACTGATACGAATGGTAGAAACATCAACGAATGCGGGCTGATACATATATTATATATAATAGTATATAACTCTTGCATGTACGATATTATTGTACCAAGTACTAGGTAATAGGTACGTTATAACTTATAATCAGGGACTGTTTTGATATTCATTATTTAATAATAAGTTCGTTACATTAGTTCGTAATAATAGTAATACTGAACAAAACTGTGTAATCTATTACTTATTAGTGCTATTACCGTGCCTACTCGCCCGTCAGCTGCTATATTCCATACCAAATAAAACGTACTAACTACTAACTGATAATACTATAATAGTCAAATGTTAATAACCAAATATTGTCACCATCTATGATAAAATAAAATCTATTTTATTTTAGTCTTGTTTCATCATTATCATCTGATTTGCTGAACGAAATTATGATTATAAGAGCGAATAAGATGTGTTTGGAAATTTAATATGTATTTTAAATGTTTATGTTTAATGTTTAATATGTTTAGTATACAGTGATACACTATAGAGTATAGACTACACAGACTATTTTTTTTGTTTATTGTTTGGAGTTTTTCAAGTACTAAGTTTGAACTTGTTTACTTGATAAAATGTTTTGTATTTTAATTTTTTTCAAAATTATAAATCTGTTATCATTTATTTTATATTTTTAAGTTTTTATGTATCTTAAAGAAGAACAATAGATATAGATACCTATAACTACTTTTATGTAGTTGTTGTTTTTAATCTTTTTTTTTTTTACGCCTCTTCTTATCTCCAGTCATACCACAACAAAATGCATGAATAGTTTCAAAAATGACATGTTAAGTTTGATGAAAAAAAATAGAGTACTGAGTAGGTATTAAAACAAAAAAAAAAAAAACCGTTTTGTGAAGATAATTTTGAAGATTTAAAACCGCTTCCAAAAAGATAACCGGTAATCCCATTTATAAAATTTATTTCGGTAAGCGGGAAATGATTATCATTATTTCTAAAAACCTCGATAACCGGTAACCGGTTCCAAAAAATTTCGGTAATCTATTTCTTCAGGAGCGGTTTCAAGCCCTGCTTTATAAGTACAATATGAATAATATGCACAAATATTTTTAAATAAAGAAGTATTGCGTAAAGCCACCGGGGAGATTTGAACTCCCGATCTCCGTCTTACATTCCGGTGCTTTAACCAACTAAGCCACGGTGCCTGTTTACCGAAGATGAGTACAATGGGCGAGACCGTTTTCGACCAAAAACGTACCCTTCCCTTTTCGGCCGAATCACTTTTCGACCAAATTTATAAAAGGTCCATTCCCTTTTCGACCAAAATCGTATCCTTCCCTTTTCAGCCGATTCACTTTTCGACCAAAACAAAAAGTTTTGTAATATGATATGTAAAATAAATAAAATAATTGGTATATAATTTTTGTAAAATTATGGCAATTATAATTTTAAAAATTATTTGAAGTATAAGTTGCATAAAATGTTGTAGAATAAAAAATAAAAAATAAATAAATATAAGAATACCTATATATTATTAACATTAGTTTTGTGTTAAGAAGTCACGCTGTGCATAATATTTTATAAAAAGAATAACATAATAATATACAATTTTTGTCAATAATTATTAAGTCTAATAGTAATGTGTATAATAATAAAAATAATGATAAATAATGGCAAATATTATTAAAAATATAAGATATATTATATAAAAAAAAATGATATAAGGTCAATATAATTGTGTCGAGTTTTGTTAGCGCTTTTCATTACATTTGTTTGAAATAATTGTTTGAAACCAACTTAACAAAATCATACCTAAAAAGGTGGGCAAGTGGGTGTCGCTCTGCTGTACAGTAGGTTACAAGTGGGTCACTGTATAATGGATGGTATTAAATTTGAATTCAATAATATAATATCATTGTATAATAAAAACGATTATGAGCGGTGACGGTATGTCAGTCTATGTATAAGACATATTATATACATATCTATGGTATTAAACAAAAAATTGACCTATAATAGGTACCTATAATAAATTCCAAATTAATCATATCACAATATCCATTAGATACTTATAACGCGTTATACATCAACAAAAACCGTGATACTATCATAGATATATAATAGTACACTTTAGAAGTTTCAAGTACCCACGAATAATATTATTCAATCACAACAAAATAACTAAAATAGTTATTCTAGGTTTTTTAATATGTAATTTCGTCCAAATTTGAATTTAAAATGTCTGTAAAAAATAAGTGTGTTCATATATTTTTTAGATTTTTTGGTTATAGTATGAACTATTTATGAGAACCTTTGTGTTGAATTTGTAATCCTTAGCTATAAAAACTGAACATTTTATAATTTATTAATTACAATGATTGATAATTTTCGAGATTTTGATAAATTTTGTCAAAATTTGATCTTTAAATGCTTATAAAGAAAAACTGTGCCTATGTATTTTTAATATTTTTCAACTGCTATTGTAACAATATATCAGGGGCCTTGTATTAAATTTTTACACTTTTTGGCCCCTACAGATAAAATTTTATTGATATTTATAGAAAAAAAAACTAAAAAAAATTGAAATCTGTAAATGTCCATAAACAGCTCAAAAAGAGTCAAAATATTTTCAAAATTGTATGGTGTATAGAAAATGCTAATTTAAACATTCAGTGAAAATTTCATGTATCTACAGTTGTTCGTTTTTGAATTGCAACAAAATAAAGAAATCGCTACATGAGTAATCGAGTGAATATCCAATGTTGTAAAAATTTGAATTTCAAACGCTCATAAAAATTTAATTTGACTGTCCGGTAGAGATTTTTTTATTGATAAAGGTAGATAATCTTATAAGGAATCTTGTGTTTCATTTTCAAATCTTAGATTTAAAAAGAAAAATTTTTACGAATTCTTAACTCAAAATAATTTGCTAATTTTCGTGATTTTTCCATATTTTGTCAATTTTTGAACTTTAAATGCTTATAAAAAAAATTGTGACTAAGGATTTTTAATATTTTTCATCTGCCTTTGAAACAATATATTAGGAGCCTTCTATTAAATTTTCAAGCTTTCGCAACCAACAAATAAAATTTTATTGCTATTTTTAGAAAAAAAACTAAAAAAAATGGAAAATGAAAATGTCCCTAAACAGTTCAAAATATTTTGAAAATGTTATCGTGTATAGAAAATGCATAAATTAACAACCAGTGAAAATTTCATGTATATACGTTCATTTGTTTTAGAGTTACACCAATAACCAAAATCGATTTTTTGGAAAACCAATTTTGAGTAAAAATTCCCGTTTTTCCTTAATTTTTATGTTGTTTTTCCCGGCGCTTGTGATAACTACTGGAAAATTTATACTTTTGACCCCCCAAAGTACCAACTAGATTCACTTTCCTATCAGAAAAGCTACTGATGAAGAAAATCCAAGCACTTTTACTGTCCTAAAACGTGATGACAGACACAAAAATATAAAAATATAAATAAAAACATACATCATAGGAGCCTTCTATTAAATTTTCAAGCTTTCGCAACCAACAAATAAAATTTTATTGATATTTCTAGAAAAAAAACTAAAAAAAGATGGAAAATGAAAATGTCCCTAAACAGTTCAAAATAAATCAAAATATTTTGAAAATGTTATCGTGTATAGAAAATGCAAATATAAACAACCAGTGAAAATTTCATGTATCTACGGTCATTTGTTTTAAAGTTACACCAAAACCCAAATTCGATTTTTTGGAAAATCGATTTTGCGTAAAAATTCCCGTTTTTCCTTAATTTTTATGTTGTTTTTCCCGGTGCTTGTGAAAACTACTGGAAAATGTTTACTTTTGACCCCCCAAAGTACCAACTAGATTCACTTTCCTATCAGAAAAGGTACTATTGAAGAAAATCGAAGCACTTTTACTGTCCCAAAACGTGATGACAGACACAAAAATATAAATAAAAATATAAAAACATACATCATTGTAAAACCAATACATTCATCGCTCCGCTCAGAATCTAAAATATAAAAACATACATCATTGTAAAACCAATACATTCATCGCTCCGCTCAGAATCTAAAATATTTTAGTGATATATTTACTATTAAGTAATAAAAACGCCTAGCTATTTTAATAAATTATATACTGTAGGTACCTGTCAAGTTACCTGTATTTTACAACATTTTATGCAACTTATACTTTAAATAATTTTTAAAATTATAATTGCCATAATTTTACAAAAATTATATACCAATTATTTTATTTATTTTATATATCATATTACAAAACTTTTTGTTTTGGTCGAAAAGGGAAGGGTACGTTTTTGGTCGAAAACGGCTATGCCCGAGTACAATATATGTCATGTACAGTACCTAATATGGTGTGAGTTTATTAGGTGTATATTTTCATGTAGGTATCACATATCGTCGCCTAAGAACCATCATGGCCCAATCTCAGTTTTCCCAACTTTTCAGGGTGAACAAAAAACTGTTTTTTTGTTAGGAATTTTGAATGTTGGTAGACCTTTTGACATTAAATAACTCTAAAAAGTTTCATCTTATTATCAATAATAATAATAATATTAGTAACACTGATTTCATCGAGTTTTTGGCTGCTTACGGCTCTCTATTAATAGTGGAAGTTCCGATATTTTTAGATTGGCCATGATAACAATTTTTTTTGTTGATAACAATTTTAGATAGGCCATGATACCACTGATAAAAACAATTTTAGATAATCCATGATGACTTTTAGAATATTTATAGCAAACCTATTGGACAAACATCGAAACTAATCCCTTGGTCTTATGCGTCTCGAAAATACGAATCTATAGATATATAAAACATATATTTGAATTTTTTGAGATTGGCCATGATGGTTCTTAGGCGACGATATTATTATGTGCATGTATCACATTACGTACACCCGTAGAATATGTTAAAAATGATTTGATAATTAATAATAATAATAAAGGCGAGTTTAGGTAATTATAATATAGACTATAGTGGATATGGTTAAAATGAAAAGTGAGGATGCATAAGCATATTTGTGTTTAATTCAAATTTAATAAAATAAATGTTGTATTATTTCTAACATGAAATGTACTGTATCAACGGTGAAGTCTAAATATGATAGTTTTATTTTTGCATTTAGTGATCAAACTATCTCGAAGACAACGTCTGAGACCCTCAGAGTCGATATCCTCTATTCTCCCTAGATACCTATATTAACCTCGGTTATTTTCGAATATGATTATAATCTGAAAATTGCATAATATTTTTAGATAATATGTGTGATAATGTACCTTACATTATATTATGAGTATGTATGTATATTATAATATGTATGTATAATGTATGTATGTATGTATGTATGTATTTATGTATATGTATGGTTGTATGTATGATATAGTCGATACAAATGTACATCGGAATATTATATATATATATTTTTTTTAAAGGGCTAATAAAAGGGAAGGTAATGTATTTGAAGGGGAAGGCGTAAAATATATTATGTCGGTCACGTGTGGGATCGGGTGGCGTGCGACGAGTTTATATGTGTTGTGGGTTGCCTATATTGAGTAGTTTATACAAGTTTGGGAGGTGCGTGTACTTCGATTTGAATATACAGAGGTGTCTATGCTTTTATATGTACAATTTAAGGGGGAGGTGCTCCAGAACATACATATTTATCCTACTACTGGAACGCATTATTTACGATTTAAAACATTTTTCTACGATTCATTTGCAATGAATATATTACAATGTACCGTCGGTTGCCGATCACTAGTGCTTTTGGTACATGAGAACTGTGATCCAGAATATCCTCAGTATACAAGCTTTTTATCGAGGTTGAAAACATTCGATTCACACCCGGCTCGATCGTGTCAAGATAAATATTCACTGGCCGCCAGCGGATTCACTTATACCGGGACTGAGGATTTGGTTCAATGTCACTTCTGCGGAGTGCGGGTTATTGTTGGGGAAATGGGAGGAAAATGACGAAGTGTGGCAACAACACGCCCTGCACAACCCTAAATGTGTATTTCTATTATTATATAAAGGCATGGAATTTATTGAAAATGTAAAAAATGAATTTAATCGCAAACGTAGTGATAATAGAGACATTCGAGACTGTTGTCGTTGTAAATCAGAACCGTATGATGTTGGTAATAATCGCGATAATAGTAATAGTCAAGCCCGTATATGTAAATCTGAATCGTATGATGTCGTCGGGTGACCTACAACACCACCACCACCCATGTTCATTATAACACAATAACCTATATAATATGTATGTTATGATATTTGTATTGAATAAACATCGAATTATATTAAACAATTAAATCGTGTTAGTATTTGACTTGGTATCCTGGTAAAAGTATGTATGTATGTATGTACGTATGTATATATATAATATGGTAAAATTCGAAAAACCGCGTCCGTCCGATTAGCGGATAGATGGCGCCCCCGTCGGTGATAATATAATACTGGTCGAGCGGACGGCGGACGATGAGCCCGCCGTGTCTCGGACAGAGAGCGCCACGGACGGGGTCGACGCCACGCGGCGAGCGTCTAATTGGCGTGGTGATGCGGAGGTGTAGCGTGGTAGCATGGTGGGGTAATGCGGTCAACGTTACCGAGGTATGGGTGGTGTGGGGTGGTGGTAGGGTGGAGGGGGATTGCGACCTGTGGCTCTTGTGGATGGGAGGTTAGGTTAGTTTGGGGTGGTTGGAGGGGTGGTGTCTCGGGTGTCTTAGGGCTGTCGGATCGGGTGGGGGTGGGTTGGGTGGAGGGGATGGTGGCTTGGGTAGGTGGCCAAGGGTGGCTCGGTAAAGACGGGGGTGGGTGGAGGGGATGGTGGCTCAGGGTGGCTCGGGTGACTCAGGGTGGCTCGGTATAGTCGGGGGGTCACCAGAACCGGCCTTTCTATACTACTACCACCTTGTAACCTACTGTACAGCAGAGTGACATGTACTTACTCAACTTTTTTATCATTTTGTTTTATGGGGACATCACACCCACATTGATCGTGTGTCCGTCGTACAATTACGAAATGTCTCAAGCTAACTTTATAAGGGTTACTGAACATTGACTCAGAATTAACTTTTAAACCTATTTACATAATTGTAAAAAGAATAAATACCAAAATGATATGTTATTTATTGTAAATAACATAATATCATTTTTGTTTTTATTCTTTTTATAATAGTTTTATTGGAGGAAATTGAAAATCACGTTAATAATTAGGCTCTCTTTGTACCGTTAAATTAAAATTTGAAAATATCTTTATCATTTCCGGACAAACTTAATTATATTTTTCCTGTTTAGTATAATTATTATATAAATACTTCCGGTGATTGTAGTTTAGCTCAAGCATATCAATCCTTTTGAACCTGTGAATGAATCAATACGTTTCATAACTTATGACTGTTGTTGAATGATATTGTTGAAAATTTTTGTAATACACGATTATTGTTGAAATAAAATAGGTACCTACTATAACTAAGTAGGTACTTATATGATAAGTTTACCAAATTTAAAAATAATATATTTACATTATTGTACAATTTACATCGAGTATTATGACAAACTATTGACAATACGTCGAACATTACGAAAATGTGATAACATTCAAATTCCTATTGTATAGATACATAATGAAACGGTATCCACGCCGGTTGAGATACCGCTTCGTATAAAGTAAGAACTCTTGCAGTATTTACTATTTAGTATGTTTTATCCTACTATAAATTGTTCTCGTGGCCAAATGTTTTTTATCTGTCTCTTTGTTACTGGCTCAGAAATTGTTTTTGTCGAGAAGATTCTCGGTTGTGATATCCTAGCTACTTTCTTTTTTATAAGTAATGAATGCTGTTTGTAGTGTTATTTTGTTTTGGGTGTAGTCTATTGTTGCCTTGTTTATGTCTAGAAAGTCGCTGCACAGTATCCTATTTTCGTTCAAATTTTCTATGATACTGAATGGCGCGTGGACCGTAATTTCTCCTATTTTTTATTATAATATCATTGTTGTGTTGCTGTGTCGAATGCATCATTGTGTATTAGTTTTGCAGCATTAAGTTTAATTGTATGCTGTGTTGGGTGGTGGTAGAGGAGTAGTTGGGATTGATTGTCGGGTTTGTTGTTGGGCGGTGCTTTGGGTTGGAGTTGGGCGGTTATACCTGCTGTTTTTGAGCCAAGAATTAGGGGCAGCCATGGGAATTAGCCGTATGTGGGCCACCGCAATTGCTACATGTCGGGGATTGACGATAATGCCAAAATGAACCCGTATTTATAAATGTTGGCATTGTTTCTAGGCGTTGCCATTGGTCAGCGTTTTTAGGTATAACGAGGAATTTATTATCGTATCATTACCTTGTGATGAGTGGTTTCTGTGATATGATTTTCATTCACCATTCATTATTTTTTGTGCAACATAAAGAAGAAAAACATGTTGGTGGCTTTCTTCACTACCTATGTCAAACGTTTGAGTTTAATTCGTCATGTCACTATTCGATATTCAACTATGTTTTTTGGTCTTGAGAAAAACCATTTTTTGTGTGCGAGTGTGTGTGGTTGCCCCGTAACAAAAATATATTATTGTTTTTTGCCACAAGGATTATGGTTATTCGTAGTTTAAGGTCATCACTCATACGTAAAATAAAAACATACCTTATTGAAATAAATCAATTATAATTTAAGAAAATTATAACTTATTTTTAGTTGTGAATAACATATTTATAAAGAATTTATTTTACTAACTGTTATTTGATACTGCTGCAGATTTAAACTTATTCATCATACATCAGATCTAGGAGTACAATTATTATTTATATTTGATAAAATACCTATCGTTTTGGGCATGGCTTAAGAACGAACTAGATAATTGAACAATTGCTTCGTAGCTTCGTACCTATAAGTACAAAAAAATACTCTTACTAAACTGATCATTTTCCTAGATTATGGTGGTAGGTAGTTTAATATCCTCCAAATCTATTATGATGATATTTTCATTAAACTAAATTAAATTGAATAGAACATAATATTATTATTCAGTAATGTACGTAAAATACATTTATTTTATGGTCATATGACAATATTTGGGTCAATTGACAAATTAATTATCAGCTACTGCATAATGGCATACACGAAAAGAATAAAGATGATGAAATGTGTGTTAAATTATTATGTAGATGAATTATATAGTTATCCATATTATATTAATCAAGTTTATTTAGATCAATTACAAGGAATGTATTTTAGAACTCTGGAAATTGACTACATGACAAAATCAACTGACATGTCATCTAAACTGTATAATTTCCGGACAAACTTATTTTAATTTTTTATGTTATATATAATTATTAAATTATATAAATACTTCCGGAAAAATTTAGAGGTTATAGCTCAAGCATGTCAATCCTTCAGAATGTATCAATACGTTTTATGAATTATGGCTGTTATTCAATATTACTGTTGAAAATGTATATAATACTCGATCGTTGTTGAAATAAAGTAGGTGGCCATACCTATTTATCATCGAAAAAATGATGATAATGAAAGTGTTCGTTCTTCATGGATTTTTCTCTTTGATTCAACCACACACTCGTTTTATGCCTAACTTGCCTATGGTAAATTAATAATCTGCTTGTTTCATTAGACATATTGAACGTCATTTTCTATGATCATCGTTGATGTCCATAATTTATTGATGACATTTCTATGTAGCTAATTATATTATTCTTATTGCAGGGAGAATATCGTACGGTATTTGATAAACTATATTCTTGCGATTCAACAAGAAACTATTCATTGCAATTCAATAATTATTTCAATAAAAAGACATCAATTATCACTGAATTAAAAGGAAATGTAACAATGTTGATACCTTTTGACGATACTCTTACAGTAAGTACCTACCTATACATATTGAATAATTGAATATTTTTATAATATAGTGAGCATTCCATATTACGGAGACCTGTGATTATAAGGCAACAAAAAAAGTTTTTAAAATAGTGAAATTTTATTTGTCAAATATAATTAGTTAAGTTGTTAAATATATACAATTAAAATCCAAAATATTTTGGTAAATTCACACTATACTGTTTGGTATTCACAGCATTTCTTAGTAAGTAGTTGGATTAGTGGAACATAACCTGTGGACATTTTAAAAGGGGGTCGTCAATAATTAATCAACAAATGAAAAAGTTATATACTATACCTCCTTGTATTAGTTATTACAAATAATTATTTTGTGCCATCGGTGACCTAGAACTAATTAAACTAAACATTCAGTTTCCATAAAATTAATGATTTCATTTATACGAAAATAAATATTCCACAAATACTAAATACTTATGTTATGTTTTTAGGGGTCCATGGGGTCTCCTAATAGCAATAAATAAATTTAGAGGTCGTGGATCAAAGAGAGCATACAACTAAGTTAGATCAAAATGAGAGCATATTTATTATTTTAATTCTCTAAAATGACAGAAATCACTTATTTTGATCAGTGAACAAAGAATGATTATATTAAATAAAAATTACCCACCATCAACATTAATATATAATATGAAAATAATATTTTGTTCTTTTACGAAATATTTAAATGATATTAATCAATATTGTAATTATAGGTTATGTAATTATGGTTACAATATATTATAGTCTACTCATTGGACACATTTTGATTTCAACTTGATGTGTAACTATTAATTCTTAATGTCACTAAAGTAAAATATTTTTTATTTGTAGCTTGATATAAACTTTGCGTCTTGGGGTTCAACTGGTGGGTGGATACCAAATTCAAACGCTTACATAACGAAAAAGGCATGCAGTGCATTAAAAAATCTAGGAGGAAATGTATGGCTTACAGTTACAAACGATTTTAACATTCCAAATGCTAGCTGTCCAGTACCAGTGGTAATGTATAAAAATAGTTTTTAATAACCATATTCCTCAGTATCCAAAATCGAGAAAATCTTAGCTGGGGTTCCCCAGGGCGGAATTCTCTCTCCCTTTCTTTTTAATATCTACACTTCTGATCAGCCTATCTCTCAGAACACTACTGTAGCTGATTACGCGGATGACAAAGCCATCATATCAATTGACAAAAACCCTATTACGGCCTCGGCAAATCTTCAAACTCATCTCAACCTAATGTCTGAATGGTACACCGATTGGCGCATTAAACCTAATCCCATTAAGTCAGTACACACAACATTCACTTTATGCCACTCCATTTGCCCAAATGTCTATTTAAATAACATACTCATTCCCACAGCTGACTCAGTTAGATATCTTGGACTTAACTTGGATAAGCGCCTCACCTGGAATAGCCATATCCGTATAAAACGACTTGCCTTAAACGCCCGTCTTCGCAGACTACGAACGCTACTCACAAATAACAAACACTCCACCTTAAAAATTAAAGTTCTTATGTATAAAACATTACTCAAACCTCTTTGGACATATGGTCTCCAACTATGGGGCACAGCAAAAGCGTCCAATACAAACAAAATTCAGCAATTTCAAAATATTGCTCTTCGAAAAATTACCAATGCTCCACCCTTTGTTTCAAATTACACTATTCATAATGACCTGTCAATAAAAACTGTAACAGAAGAAGCTATACGTTTCTACAAAATCTTTCATGCCCGGCTGCAAACACACCATAACCCACTCATTAAAAACCTATCCATCCAAACATTACCTGGCAACCCCAGGCGTCGATTAAAAAGGAGATGGTGCCGTGATTTGCTAGGGAACTAATTATCTAATTATCAATTATATAAAAAAAAAAAAAAAAATCAGTTTATATAAACATAGCTAGTTTCATACAACCTCCAGTTAAGTGCCATTAGTGGGTGGCTTCTTACTCACGTACTCATGTTATATTTTAACCCTTATAAAATATGCTTATTGTGCAAAATTGTACAGATTGTATATACATTGTGTAAAATAAAAAAAATAAAAAAAAATAACCATATATTGATGAAAATGTATTATATTATATTTTAATACTTGAAAATAGTTGTAGTAGAAGGTATATTATATTAATACAAATTCATAACATATAATTAATCTATAATTAACTGACATAATAATCATAATGTATAACAATCTGTGCACTTCACCATTTAAATTATTATGTATTTGTTACATTTTATTGTTGAATTATTACAGGGCACTTATATTACATCAGGGATTGACTTGAAGAAATTTGAAGATCATAACTTTCCCAAAGTATATTTTTATGGAAAATATAAACTGGTGTTTAAGGTGAAAAATATAGAAAACAAAGTACTTGGCTGCGAGATTGTGGAGGTTAATATTATACGACCGTGGGAAAAACCATTTTGATGAAATTGTACAAAATAAGGATTTATGTTATTGTTAAGCAATAAATGCAGTATACTATACTATATATTTCCTTTAACGAATAATATATATTATTAATCAGCTATTATACAAAATTTCAAACTAATATTGATATTATGATCAGTTTTTGACCAAAAGTCTCTGTTACGTAAATACTTGAAGTTCATATGGACTGAAGTGCAGGAAGAAGAATTATATTTATATTTCTAGAGTTGCTCAAGATGCATAATGGTAATTCAATGATGCAGTCATGTTCCGGCGTGACGCTTATATGACAGTAGCTGTACACTCACGAGAACAAGGATATGCTTAGCGCCTGTTTTGCTACACTCAATGATTAAAAGAAACACATTCACACTGGTATATTGTATGAGTCAAAAAAACTAGTGATTCATAGTCCCACCACTATTTATGCAAATTAGGGTTAGTGTTGTAGTTCTCAGTGTTAGTTATTAAACTATAACGTTTCTTATTTTGTATTGTCAAGTGTTTATTTACCTGATCAATTTTAATAACCTAAATACTAGGTGGCGCAAGGTCTTGAATATCTCATAGAATACGATTAAGAGTGGTTAAGTAGAGTCCTGGATCGGAACATGTTGACACTCTGTCTCATGTGCTTTTTGAAACTAAAGAGCCCTCACTAGATGATCTCCCTGAAAAACATGGTGTCATGGTTAATTGCCTCAGTAGCCAACAAACCTACTGTAAGACATTTGAAATTATTAATAGTCAGATCTATTTTCTTTAGAACGAGTATAACTGCTATAAAAACTGTAGAATCCTACTGGATCAGACCATCAAAATCGTGTGCTTAATTTATGAGAAACCATACCACCTACCAAAACAATGTTTACAAGAGACCTTGGTACAAAATATGTGTGCTCTAGAAATAGAAGTTGTTATCACTGAAATTAATTCACATTGGAATACCACTTAATATGGAATACCATATCAACCATGAATTTGAAACCAAAAATTCGCCACATTGCTTCGTTACTATTTATAATTTATATATCTTCCTGATTTATATTTTTCAATTTCATTATTATTTTTATTTTCTATCGGAATAAAGTCTTGATCACTTCCTTTGTTTATATAATTCAAAATTTATTTTACTGCAACTACTGAACTACAAAGTTCATCATTAATATGAGCATTAATTATTTTCGAGATTAGTCGACAATATGGCACAATCTACTGATTCTAAATATTCACTTTTTTGTATTTATCAGTAACCTTAACTTTAATAGCAGTCTGGAAAAATCCATTTGTTAAATTCTTCGCCAGTAAAAGGATATCCATTTTTATCTGATCTCGTGACATCAAGTAATTTTCGAGGATAATATTACATTTACATTGACCATCGTTCATACATACTGAAAATGGATTCAACTGTCCACATATCATATTTTTTTTTTTATGTCAAATAAATGAGGATCTTTTTCTGGATCTGGTTATTCAGCTGAAATGATATTATCAATTCGAACTGGATGAACTTTGTTTTCTAACCATATTAAAATATGAGAATGTGGTAAACCTCTTTTTTTCCATTCTATTGAATAAAACCAAGATATAACGTTACCAAAACTCTTTCACTTAGTTATCAAATCGATCAGCTTTCTTCATTTATATTTGAATACTCTTGCTATTAAGTCATGGAGATCACTTGGTTGCTGATCAGCCAACAATAAATTTGTGATTTCTGTCCATCGAATATAACATGTAAATGTAATGAATAAACATGGCTTTCCATTATTTCTAACATAACAAATAGCATCTTGTGTATATTCATGCATATGTCATGGACCACCTATAAAACTTCCTGGTAATATACATTTTTGCCCCATATCTGAAACATTTTCATCATTTTCAAATGCATCTTTTAAATGAATATACTGTTCAACTTTAAGAGCATTTTGATTGCATCGTATATAGAGTAAATGTTCATTTTCAATTTTTGCATACACATATCAACTATATAAATTGATTTAGGAATTGCTTATAATGTAATAAATGATTTTCTGGATTTACACGTATCATAATTCTGTATGTATAAATTTCATTGATGACCCTCGTTTCTTTGTTGACAAACCTGTAACTGGATTTATTTCGTATATTTCAAAATGATATCCATCTTCACCCATCCAAAACATCAATGGATACTGTAAATCATCATACGATTTGTGAGTTTCTTGGACTGTTCCATACTCATTACTAAGTTTTTGTAACACATTCATTCCCATTAATTATAGCAGCTACTTCATTTACAACTGGTAAACTAAAACGTCTTTCGTGTTCACCTGAAGGTATTTTGTCGGTTCGAAGTACAATTTGGCAGTCATCACTTGGCATATTGTCTAATGATGTGTTATATGCCCACCACTATAGAGACTATAGAGACGCTTGTTTTACAGAATATAATAACGCCTGTATGTAGGCGTCTTATCTTAGATATTTTGCTAATACGCGACAAGACTGTAGTATCGGTCCTGTCGGCAATTCAGTCTAGAACTCGACTCATTCGAGCTAAGTAGTGAGCTTGTAGTATAAATCATATTTTTTAAAACTAATAAAGTATAATATTCTCATATAAATCTAAAACGTGTATTCTTTTTATTAATAAACTATTAAACAACATTTGATTATCACCCGCTACACAGAGAACGGTTTCAACAAATTGTCGTCTTCGGATACAACCAGAGACACAATATAAAATATAACAGAACATCACAGGCATACGCAGTGGCGTTCATATTTTTTGAAAAGTTTTATTAATGCGTTGTGTTCATTTAGAAAATGTTGTAAAGATTGAACTATTTCATGTTGTACATCGGAAACGATCGAACATCTACGTTGTGATTGTATATCATCATCACCAATAAAATATTTTTGTAAAAATGATGATTCACAATCATATGGAAGAAGAGATCCTATTCTGTGATAAATTTGTCCCTGAATTGTGAATGTAGTTTGATAACCTGACTCTTTCTTTCTGTTATCACCAAACGAAGTCATGTTGAAGCACGAATTATATTTTCTGCTACTATCAGTAGACTGCTACAATCTTAAATGCTTTAATTTCTAAATTTTTTTTCATTTGGGACTTTCTTCTTTCTGTACGTTGACTGATTTGTTTCTTATTGTCATTAGATGATATTTTTTGACTATATCATCTTCAACTTGACGAGATTTCTTAATATTTTTTCTGTATTTTATTTAGTAAAGAATTTTTTCCAATATTTTGTTTTCTCTTAGGCGTATTCAACTATATTTTTAATGATTACAAATTTAAGAAAGATTAATGATGTATTTTATATAAAAAAAATGAATTGATACTGTTATTTTGTTGCTATGGCATTTTTAGAATTATGGAGCAACCTTCAGATAAATGTAAAAAAAAAACATCAGAGTTACAAAACTATAAACTGTCAATAAAACTAACCTATTTAAAAAAATAGAGAAATTATAATGAAAAAAAACCCAGAAGTTGCTATAAATCACATCTGAGAAACTGGCAGTTTCTTTTTATTTTTCAATATTCCATATTTACCAATAAACCAAAGAATTTACACTTTTTTACAGACATTCAATAATTCTTGGAATAATTGCATTCTTTTATTATGAGAAATCTAAAAGGAATGACTTTTTTTACCTGATCCAAATATAATTGAAAAAATCCTGAAGAAACAAATTACTTTCCAACTCCTGGTGAAACAATGACTAACCTAAATCCTGAAGAATATGAAAAAAAAGTCACATCCCCCTCCTGGTGAACCGTTAAGTAACGTCGGTACCTAATAAGATAGTAATAATCTTTTCTCTTCACGAAAATATATTTTTTAATCAAAAAAATCCCAAAGATGATAATAAAATCACTTCTGACTCCCTGGTGATCGTGAAAAAATCCCAAGGCCATTTTTGACTTCAGACTGATACTTATGAGCTCAAACTGCAATGTTGAATTTCAAGTAAATCGTAGTATTAGTTATTATTCGAGAAATGGCCACTTTTTTATTATATATATATATAGATTAACACTCACATAATGAATACTTTATATAAGTAAAACTGATCCGGACATTGATGGTTTCATGAACTACAAATAATATGAACATGAATACCACAACAAAACACAACATTTCTTCAGGTACCTATATCATTATTCTAGGCACAAGTAAACAATATTAGACACAAATAACAAAATTACCAGGAACGATATTTACCAGAGATAATAATATTCACTGAGCCAGAGCACATACGTACAGCACTAACAATGTAGTAATAAATAAGTTTACCTTCTATATTATCATAATGTAGCAATTTCTACTCAATATTTACATTATATTATATTCAAATAAGTAGATTACAATATTTCGAAATAAAAACATAGGAAAACTGAACCATGGTCGGATGCCGCACGCAGAAGACTTGAAAAATGATTCTGCTTGAAAGTATATAAATTATAAAATGACAAGGTGACTTCCCACTTCCCAGCTCGCTTATTTCACCAACCCTTGTTGTATCTATGTTTAATTTTGATGTGTGACATCCTTTTAATCCGCCTTTTGTTTCATAATAATATAATATAGTAGGCCATTTGTTGTTGATATAATAACTAACCTAACCTATCCATTTTCAGACCCATTTGAAAATGTTTTTTTTATTTCTGATTAAATATAATTAAGTAATTATAAAATATTTGGAACGAAAAATCGTTATTCGCTGTTTAACACGTACAGCGGGCCCGTTCAGCATAACACCACAATAATTTGTGTTTACCGGCAGCTCTGGACACCATATAGCAATTACAGAGCGCGCCTCTGGCGACATCGCTATCGATACCACTATGGCCAGCCTTGATTTATCTATTTATCTAAAAGTGCTAAAACCCAGTATATCGCGCTGAATTCGTGCCACTTGATTGTTTCGTCCAGTTGTTGGACTATCACCACAGAAGGCCTTAAGAGGGGACGGTTCTCTGTGCCTATCATCATCAAAGGACAAATACTAACATCGATTCCTTGTACCAAAAATATCTGTTCTTTTATTTTACTGTCAGCTCAAAGAGAAATATCGTATATAAAATTAAAATATTGTAAACTTACATAATTATTTACAAGTAAAATAAAGTACGAATTTACAGCCAGGAATCTTACTGCGTTGTAAATAAAATTACCGTTACATATTTCATATACTACAAATATATTTTACTTATATTTTTTAATACCGAAACATATTACTTACATTTTTACACAATTTTACATTTACTTAACGAATTTCATACTATGAATAATATTATATAGGCGTGTTCGAAGGGACACAGCAAATTTTTAAATTGTGAGACCTATTTTTTTTTTTAGACATGAAAAACATTCATTTTATACCTATGTTACAAAATTCACAATGTTAGGAATATTTTTTAATTATGATCAAAAAGTATAACCATTATCAAAACAATAAAAATACTTTTTCCCATCCATTATACAATTTAAACAACATGAAAAATTGTAAAACTATTAACTAATCAGTAATAAATATTTTTAGTTTCTGACAAAATTTAAATTATTTTAACAAGTCGTAAAATATCTGAACACATTTTTGAAATGATAATCGGTAATTGGATATTTTCAGCTGATAAAACCATTTTATCCCTGGTTAGATAAAGATTATTTGATCTATGATATCACAGCTCAATACTTGGTGGATGGGCACAACAGTACTATATGCTATGTAGTTATAAATAATTGATGAACATAATATTATATGATAATATAATCACTAATTAATAGCGGGTAACTAAAAAACTTACAATTAATCAAAATATATAGGGTACTTACACACCCCACGACTTTTTTTTTATCCTGGCATTATTTTGTTGGTGGCACAGTCTGCCGGGGGGCGGGGGGGCAGTGCCCACCCGGCCGCATATTAGCATTCTGTGGACGGTCTCGGCACCTATAAACCAATTGAGACTTCTGATTGGCCCGTTTGAATTTCCGCGCGAATTTCATAATTTTATGTTATCACGCATAATATATTATAATATATATAATATATTGTAATACACTATTATATATACAATATTATATATATCATTACAATTTTTTTTTTTAATATTTCTGAGTTAGAAAGTAGTTAATTTTATTAATTGCTAGGTTAATATTACTTAAATCATTTGAATGATTTAGTACTTTTAAGTACACATTTAATAAAAAGTAACTATAAAATAAAAACATTCAAATAAGTAGGTACCTAGGTATCCAATATTAATTTTGATAATACTTGTGTTCATTAGCATTAAGCATTATAATCATAATTCGCTAATCCCTATTTAATACAAAATTTAGATAGGTACCTACTCTTCTTTCATGACAAGTGGTAGATACTTTTAAATTTTAATATGGATACTTTTAATATTATTCAAATTAATCCCAGTTTACTGCGTGCTAATCTGTTGAATGAAAATTACATTAATAATTATATAAAATATTATTCCCAACAAACACTGAAACACATACAAGTTGGTGTGTTCTAAAGTCATTTAAATCTAATAAATTTGTTATTCGGTAAATCAGTAATCCTTATTTAGATTTGAATGACTTTAGAACACACCAACTTGTTTGTGTTTGTTGGTAATAATATTTTATATAATTATTAATGTAATTTTCAAAGGTGGGCATTAACTAGTTGAAAAGTTAAAGTTCAGTTAAAAAGTTAATTTTTTTTTAACTTTTTAACTTAACTATTTAGTTTATTTTCTAATCAACTTATGAACTTAGTTTAATTTACAATTTAAATAACTTAACTTTTCTCAGTTGATTTAAAAAAATCCATTCAGTTAAAATATTTTGAAATTGTTCGTTTATACTTAAATATTACGAATTTTGAACGCTCATAAAAATTTAATTTGACTTTCTTATAGACATTTTTTTTTGATAAAGGTAGATAATCTTATAAGGAATCTTGTATTACATTTTCAAATCTTAGATTTAAAAAGAAACATTTTTACGAATTCTTAACTCAAAATAATTTGCTAATTTTCGTGATTTTTCCATATTTTGTCAACTTTAAATGCTTATAACAAAAAACTGTGACTAAATATTTTTAATATTTTTCAAATGTCGGTGTAACAATAAAGAAGGAACCATGTATTCAATTTTCAAGTATTTTTACTCAACAAATAAAGTTTTTGATATCATATTTATCACGATACATGATTAGCAAAAATATTTTGACCCTTTTTGAGCTGTTTATGGACATTTACAGCTTTCAATTTTTTTTAGTTTTTTTTCTATAAATATCAATAAATCTCTACCGGAATGTCAAATTAAATTTTTATGAGCGTTTGAAATTCAAATTATTACAACATTCGATATTCACTCGATTTCTCATGTAGCGATTTCCTTATTTTGTTGTAATTCAAAAACGAATAACTGTAGGTACATGAAAATTTCACTGAATGTTTATATTAGCATTTTCTATACACCATACAATTTTGAAAATATTTTGACTCTTTTTGAGCTGTTTATGGACATTTACAGATTTCAATTTTTTTTAGTTTTTTTTTTCTATAAATATCAATAAAGTTTTATCTGTTGGGCCAAAAAGTGTAAAAAATTTAATACAAGACTCCTGATATATTGTTACAATATCAGTTGAAAAATATTAAAAATACATGGGCACAGTTTTTTTTTATAAGCATTTAAAGATCAAATTTTGACAAAATTTATCAAAATCTCGAAAATTATCAATCATTGTAATTAATAAATTATGAAATGTTCAGTTTTTATAGCTAAGGATTGCAAATTCAACACAAAGGTTCTCGTAAATAGTTCATACTGTAACCAAAAAATCTAAAAAATATATGAACACAGTTTTTTTTTACAGACATTTTAAATTCAAATTTGGACGAAATTACATATTAAAAAACCTAGAATAACTATTTTAGTTATTTTGTTGTGATTGAATAATATTATTCGTGGGTACTTGAAACTTCTAAAGTGTACTATTATATA